ACCAGGAAACTGGAAGTGGCGCTGTGGCTCAAGTGGTAGAGTGCTAGCCTTGAGCTGAAGAGCTGAGGGACAGCGCCCAGGCCCAGAGTTCAAGCCTTATGACTGACAAAAAACAAACAAACCAAGAAACAACAAGAAAAGTGAGAGGCAACAGCAGGAACACTGAGTAAGCACTGTCCATTGAAGGTAGAAATGAGAAACCATTGTCTTACCTTGAAATTTTCTGCAGGAAAAACTTCTAAGTGAGCACTTTTCAACTCCAAATCAGTCTTATTTGCAACTAACCACACCATCAATAAACAATCATCTTCCCAAATTTTGTAAGAAGACACTGATATGGTTTCATTATTACAGACCTCCGTAAGACTTGAATGCATGCACTCAGTAGTTTCTTCCAACGAAGAAACCACAGAGAGTTGCTTGACAACTGAGGCTGTAGTAGATGGAGGTGGGTGCAAAATTTCCATGTTGTTATCAGCAAACAAAGAAGGTGCAGACAGGCTGCAATTTGAGAGTTTTTCAACCAAAGGCAGCTCTGTGAGAGATTTAGAATCCAAAAGTTCTGAACTGAGAGAAAATTTCTTTAGTCCCTTGTCTCCTCTATCGTGTAACGTATTCAAATCATCATCATCAGCACAGACCACATTTGACAAAGTACTGAAGGAAGAATGGGCTGTTTCTCCACTTCTGGTTTCCTTGACTTTTGATTTCCTTCGGAACTTATGAGACACAGGGTCTGCTTTTCCCAGCTGAAAATGGAACATAAGATTCTAGCTATAAAGCATACATTAATCGAAATCCAACATCAATAAAATGCTAAATCATAAAATTCTTTTTTCAAATGTTTTATTATCTTTAAGTAGTTGTACAAGGGAGGTGCCATTTAACATAGAAGTTTATAAATACAATACATCTTGGTCAGTGTAAACGGTAAAATTCTGATAGCTACATAATTTAAACTATTAGCTAAACTAGTTCTCAGGTCCAAGTCTCTGTCTTCCTGGGGAGCCAATACTACATGGCATCTTTAACATACTACTTCTCCATCAGAATTCTAGTTCCCCTTTCATACCTTCTGCATTCCCCATAAGCCCCAACACCTTGCAGTTCTCAGAGAACTCTCACTTCCCAATTCAGAAGACATTTAAGCAAGAACTACCATTCTCTTAACCAAAAGGAGAAAAACAAGGGAAAGGGGGTAGGTGAAAAATTAATGCTGCTTTGTTTTTGTTGGTTTGCTGTAGTGATGCTGCTTTGCCTTGGACTTTTCTTTCACTCTATATATGCCTATTTTTTGTCTTGAAAGGAGACTGCAATCTGCTGCTAATCAGAAGCAGGCCAGAAGACAGTGAACTCACATCAAGTCTGAAGAAAATGGGACCCCCAATGGTGGTCTAGATACAGATAAGGCAGATGACCTAGTTTAACCTGTGACCAAGCATTGACAGAAAGATGACGAGAGGACTGTAAGTCTCACCAATCACAACTTTAGAAGAGGTGACTTATGTGGTTATTTTCAGATGCCCATCATAGCACCTGTCCTATAGAGCTTTTCAATATTTTATTATGAAAATAATATACACTGCAAAAAAAATTGAAAGTCATAATCCTAACATCTAAAGATAATAATGACCAAAATGGTAGGGTTTGTCTAACAAGCATAAGGCCTTGGGTTCAAACTCCCAATACTGCTCCGAAACAGCAACAACAACAAAAAAGACATAAATAAAACTTTACAGTCCACAGTCTTGTTTTGTTTTTGCAGTGCTGGGGATTTTACCCAAGCACTCATGGATTCTACAAAAGCACTCTATCACTAAGCTACACCCTCAACTATACTCTGTAGTTTTTGTTCAATATATTGTATTTTTCATTTTACAAAGCAATACTAACCACTTTAGTGGCTAAATGCCTGACAAAATATAATCTATGAAATTATTGTCTTACAGTTGTACATCTAAACTAATTTCACTATTAAAAATGCCATTCTGAGATTCACTTTTTCACAGATCTATCAATAAGCTTGTTGATTTTTACTAACAATATTTCAATCAAGGTCCCTTCCCTCAGAGCTTACTTCCCATTATCCCAGCCATCCACAAGGGTGGGAGTGCCTCTCTGATAATACTTTATTTGGCCTGACCTCTGCTTCAACTGGTTGGACAAGAGAGCACACCTGACTCAGACTGACCAGATTTTCCCCCTCAGGATATAAGGTGTATGTCAATGGCAGCTCTAGAGCTAGAAAGGATGGCAAATGAAAGTTTGGAGAGCCATTTCCTACCATGAAAGCCAGGAGGTTTTCAAGAGTGAGGTTTCTGTAAAAACAGGAGATGCATTCATAAGGAAAGAAAAAAAAAAAACAGATTACTTACCAGATGAATTGTATTTTCTGATCCTAACCCAACAAATAATGATGATGCCAACATCTGCTTCTCTTTCTCCTCTTTAGACTGGGTAAGAACTTGAGACTGATCGTTTCTTGTTATAGCTTGATCTCTATTCTCCAGTATTGCCGTCTCTGGAGGAACAGGGGGAGCTTCTGCTTCATCGCCCCCTTTGCTCTCCTTCTTTGGAAGATATCCTTCTTTTCCCCACAACTTCTTTACACCTTCCAGCTTCAGGCTATTTGTCCTAAGGAGATCAATGCGGAAAGGAAGCCAATCTAAATAACTGACAAATATTTACTTTGCTTGAGTACCTTTTCAAAACACATTATTGCCCATGAGTTTGAACTGTGATCTTGAGATATCAGCCCATGACTTTTACTCACTAACTTTTGTTAATTTGAGTTTTTTCCTTTTTTTTAAAAAAAGGCAGGTGTGAAGCTAGGGGCTGATGGCTCATGTCTGTAATCCTAGCTACTCAGGAGGCTGATATCTGAGGATCACTGTTCAATCTCATGGGCAAAAACAAACAAACTTTAAATTGTATTTTATATATCCACAGTAAACCCACGTCTTCAGATTTTATTTTCATTATAGCCAACTTTCCAACCCTCTAATCAAAGAATTAAAGGCAGTAGAACTTTTTTGTGTGTATGTGTGTCAGTCATGGGGCTTGAACTCTGGGCCTGGGCGCTGTCCCTCAGCTCTTCAGCTCAAGGCGAGCGCTCTACCACTTGAGCTACAGCGCCACTTCTGGTTTTCTGGTGGTTTACTGGAGATAGGAGTCTCACGGTCTTTCCTGCCCAGGCTGGCTTTGAACCTCGATCCTCAGATTTCAGCCTCCTAAGTAGCTAGGATTACAGGCATGAGCCACCAGGCCCGGCTCAGCAGTAGAACTCTTAAACTTTAGAATTCCTAGATCATTTAATTTTCACTTCATTTCTTGAATAAGTTGTATGAAAATAGAACTATCATAAATCAGTTTCTTTCCTTCACTGACTTAAAAAAACAACAACCCTGTATTTGATTCTGACAGGCCAAAGATCAAAAATAATTCATTATTGTAAAGGGATTAAACATAAATTCACAAACATAAATTCATGACATAAAATCTCACTGAAAGCAAAAACATTATTCAAATATCTTCCTATGTGTACTTTTTTAAAGTTTTTTTTGGCCAGTCATAGGGCTTTAACTCAGGGCTTGGGCACTGTCCCTGAGCTTCTTTTGCTCAAGGCTAGCACTCTACCACTGGAGCCACAGCATCACTTCCAGCTTTTTCTGTTTACATGGTACTAAGGAATCAAACCCAGGGCTTCATGCATGCTAGGCAAGCACTCTACCACTAAGCCACATTCCCAACCCCTTACATTTATTTCTAATTCAAAGTATTTTCTTAATTGTTATACTTGTATGAATCATAAATGTACTTTTGTTAATTTGAGCTTTTTCTTTTTAAAAAGGCAGGTGTGAAGCTGGGTGCTGGTAGCTCATGCCTGTAATCCTAGCTACTCAGGAAGAGCTAAAGATCACACTTCAAAGCCAGCCTGGGTAGGAAAGTATATGAGACTCCTATCTCTAATTAAGCTGCAAGTAGAGCTGTGGCTCCAGTGGTAGAGCACTAGCCTGGAGCTGAAAAAGCTCAGCGCAGGAGTAGGAGGAAAAAATAAAGGCCGGTGTGGTGGACATGAGGCTGTTTCATCCAGATTCATCTTTAACAAAGGACTGTTGCCCAGCCACTAGAAATGCTGTCAGCTCTTAGCCAGTTTAGAGACTATCTTGGCTGCAGGGAATATTTCACTGAAGCTTAAGCCTCTCCCAGGGCAGCCCAATGGTGGACAGAAGTGTAACATTCTGGCTTCTCATCCTGGCTCAACTCAAAGCAACTAAGAAGGGTCATTCTAGCCCAAGAGCTCCCCATGGGGTCAGTAAAGGTTGCCATAGACACTGCATTCTTTCTCTTCTTCCAAACCTGCTTTTCCCCCTTCCTTTCTTAGGTGTGGACCTCAAGGGCATTCTTTAATATTCTGCACCCTAAATGCCACTGCAGAAAATACTTCCCAGGTGCCAGGCACTGGTGGTTCATGCCTGTAATCTTAGCTACTCAGGAGGCTGAGATCTGAGGATTCTTGTTTAGAGCCAGTCAAGGTAGAAAAGTTAGTGATATTCTTATCTCCAATAAACCAGCAAAAAGGTGAAAGTGGAGGTATAGCTCAGGTGATAGAATACCAGCCTTGAGCAAAAAAGCCAAGCAAGAGCATGAGGCCCTAAGTTCAAACCTAATACAAGCACAAAGAAATAAAGATGTTCTGGGCTGGGAAGGTGGCTCAGTGGTAGAGTGC